TCGTGTAGTTAAAAAACAGGTAAAATCGTACGGAATCGTGTTGCTTAAAAAGGTATCGTCGATAACGAACGTACGCAATCGTGTTTTACCCTTAAAAAATAAACTAGAAATATCTTCTTAAACTAAGGAATCTATTGATATAACTTTTAATTGAGAACGGTCAAATAGTTTTTAAATCTATTAACTTCAGATAAGCCTACGTGGGTTAAAAATATGACATATATATATCATATCATATCACGTAACCTGTAGTAACTATTTATATAGAAAAAATAATACCAATTTCTACTAATTTACTAGTTATACTTTTACTTTGTTCTAATAAGCAATCAATAGCAACCATTTATATACCTAAAAAATTCTAATGGAAAAAAGGCCTTTCAGCTTTTCACAAACTTTCCAATTTTTCTCTCCTATTTATTTATATCCAGTGTTCCTATTTTCAGGAGAAACAAAAACATACTCTGTACATGAATTCCGTACTTGATATTTATAACTAACTCGTATTTTGCATTTAAAGTTAACCAATATACTTGTGGTCATAGAAGTATCACAAATCAATGAGTCAGAAAACTTCCAACAAAATGTACATATGTAATATGCATAAGCAATAATTGATCAAAAATGGACTAGAACCCCTTTTTTCCAAACCTGGTACAATTATTCTATTTTAGAACGTTATCGATTATTTATTCCATAGCATAGTTTTTAAATATATTTGGTATCCATCTGACCAAGTATGGTTATTATTTCCGTAAATTATGTCATAAGTGGAGTAATTTGATTAATGCAACTTAACATTTTACCAAATTAAAGTCATATTATAAATTCAACACGACGTGGCTTCGATAATGTATATTAGAAAAACACATGTTTACGTTGACCCCGAAGCACATCACTTTTAATATAATTTTAATATTTTAATATTATTAAACTTTTTGAAATCAATTTAAAACGATGATAATATAATAACGCAAAACACGTAGGTATACAACACACCATATTTCCTTGACAACTTTCCCGATATCGCTATGTCAAAAATGTTTATGAGCAGATGGACAAAAAGAGAGGTGCTCTTGAAAAATCTTAAGTATACATAAACAACAAACCACAGTATCTATACCATTATTTCATAACTTGAAATTTTCACTTAACTCATCGTAAATAATATTTATAACAAATCTACTTTTTCGTTACACATTTGCATAGCTGCATATTATAACGTGTGCATGGGGTGTGTTTTGAAAGGAACAAGACGTTCAACTGTTTTCATACTAACGCTATACTACAACGAGTACGACGTGCCTTCATTCAATGACGGGTTGTCTATATATATACATGATATAAATGAAAATACATATATAATTAAAGTGTGTAATACAAAGTATCTATAAAACTCGATGCATGTTGAAAAATTAAGACTTAAACAACACTCACTAGCAGGAAAATCGGTTTTTTAACTGAGCCACTCCGTCATATTACATTATGAAGTGCGGAGAGCTGGAGACTAACCTAATAACATTATATTAACTATGCATAATGTATTTCCCTACCTATATATTGTATGTACATAACACGCACTACTATTTAAGATCATCGCAGTATACACATTTATGACTCATAGTACCCAAAGATACAGTTTTATCCGTCTCATAGGAGACGACAGATATCCAAAGTATAAGCGAAGAGCTCCAGAAAATAGTGGTTTAATGTTGAAATAAATGGTAAGAAAATTGAAAATCAGTGGGTAGTGCCGTATAAAGGTCCTTTCACACACGTCTGATCCGAGTCCAATCCGAGCTTTCCTAGTTCTATCCGATCAAAAAAAATTTGTCTGTCCGAGCTCGGACAAGTTTGGATACGGAACGGTGCCGGATTGAACCTGTATAACAGGCATCCGAAGTCAATGTGCATGATTGTGTATGTTCAACACCTACTATATGACTATAGTACTGTGAACTATATATTATGACTATCATTGAAAGGTTTTTAATTTTTATTATTTTCTATACGCCAATCAGTTCAGTCAGTTGTCAGTATCTACTCGTTTTTTAAAGACACTATTCACTAAATTTTCTCTACAAATCTCAAGATGAACAACGAACAATTAATTGAACTCATAAGAACGCATACCGAACTATATGACTTGAGTCATTCAAAATATAGTGACAGTACTTGGAAGGAAAAAGTTTGGGAAGGTATTGCTGATGAACTAAATCAAACCAGTAAGTTTTAAAATATTAAATAAGTAATTTATAATTTTATTCCACTTGAAGTAAAATATTATATAATTTACATTATTAATAGTTATTAGGTATTTAATTACTAATTTAAGAAAATTATATGTGTAGTAGTATTAATTAGAATTTCAATTTGTATACTGAAATGTACCCTATTAATCTTAGCTAATACTTAACAGTTATTGTTTTATTGCATAACAAATAAAAAAAATAAATAAACATTATTTTGCCATGGGATTGACCCATGGATGAGTTAAAAAAAAATTTTAAAAGTGTTTCTTATCAAAAATGCTTCCAAAGTTGCATTTCCTACTCGAATAGGAATATTTGTTAAAGTCGTTACACTTAATTGATCTGCATTGAATTGCTGATTATCACGTACCTATATGGGTTAGCTTACCATCGTACTTTTATTAATTTTGCATGTAGATATTATTATGACATCAACATTTTAGGTTTGGCTTAAATTCGCCTATTATATATTCGAAATTGTTGTAATAATATTCCAAAGGCGTTCTCTACGACTCTCCTAGCACGACAAATTCGATAGTTGTATATTCTTTTTTCATTGCAATCAAGGTTTTTGCCAGGATAGGGTCTTAGCAAGTAAGTTTTTAAGGAGAATGCTTCGTGCCCAATAATTATAACGAATGGTACTTCATTTGTTGTACCTGGCAATGCTGTTTTTCTGGTATATCCAGTTTATTTTGCTCTAATGCTTTTCCTAACATTGAGTGATTTAAAATACCATCATCGCTGTTTTTGTCATAACTTCCTGCATCTACAGCTATAAAATTGTAATGCGCGTCGACCAGTGCTAATAATACAACAGAAAATGTTTTTTTGTAATAAAAATACTGTGAGCCGCTGTTAGGAGGTGCTTGAATTGTCACATGTTTCCCATCGATTGCACCTAAGCAATTTGGAAAATTCCAGGAAATCCAAAATTCTGAAGCTATTTCTTTCCATTTTTGTTCATTTGGTGCAGCCATGACTTCGGGCATTATAATTCAGTGGCGTAAACTGGGGGTCGCACGGGGTTGCATTTGCGACCTCTGAAAATATTATAGAGTTGCAAGAGTTTCTTTTTGCGACCCCGAAAATCACAATTTCAGTTTTCAAAAAATTAAAATATCAATAATTATTTAATTAATTGACTAATTTATATTTTGAGAACAAATTTTTTATTTTGTTTTGAATCACTGGAATTA